GCATACACATGTACAGCCAGAGTACCCAGAGGCATCACTTTCAATCAAATCATACAGCAGTGAAAAGGTGTGTGCAAGCTCATGTAGCCACTTAATTAACCCACACGGCACACGGGTCGGCCAATTGTGCAAATGCAAATAAGCAGCCACTTATAATAAAAAGGTGCAACCATCACCTGTTGCTATAAGCCAAACTGCATCACAATTAGCTTTTTAATTATTAATAAATGGATAGGACAGCTGTTCCGTCGACTCATTATTTTGTGTACCAACGCTAGCATGCTTCCACATAATTTGCATTTTTTTTTTAGTAAAAAAGGTAATGGTGGATTTGAATGAATTTCATCAGGATAAACGCCGTAATAATATTTTCTTTCCCGCAAAGAAATTATGAGCTAAGATATTAAGGACCTGTATATTGTTTATATCACGTTACCTACTGGATCTGTTATTTATTTCTTGATTGATTGATTGGATCTTATAGATAGAGTGGTGTTTAAATGTTTGATTATTTAAAATATGGCTGATTTTTTTTTCTGCCAACTTGCCAAGTGTGCAACCACTGTGTTATTCACTTTACCAAATTCAAGGCAGAAAAAAAAAGGGGGAAAAAGAAGAAAAAATCAAAATGCATGAATGTAACTCATCAGAATCTACTAGGGAAACGGATACATATCATTTTCCCATTTAAGCTTAAAATACTAAAAGATTTTTTTAAAAAAAGAAGTACAAAGGAAAAAATGGGTCAATACCTACATGTACATGTGCCAGGCTATTGCTGTTAAGTTCAGATCTGGACTTATAAGCCGCAAAGCATTCATCTTCACAAGCATTTAAAATAAACATAGAAACAGATTTTAGAAAAATGCAGCACGGACAGCATTTAGTTCTCAAAGTGAAAATATGACTTACAGCATACTGAAGTAAATATAAAAATAGACTAAAAATAATTATGAACTGTTAAGGCAGGCTGTACACAACGACAATAGTGAAACAAAGAACAGAAATATTTTTATTAGGATTAAAGAGCATTTTTCACATAAAAAGCGATTTAAAAAACAAACTGAAAACTAAAATTCAACTAAAATTATTTTCTTTTGAAAACAACATATCACACCCCACATATTGACTTATATTTTCAAGCCAGCATGCAAATATGCCAAAGTCCAAAAGCAATGTACGTTGGTCCATCTGGTTACATTTTCATCAATGTGAGCATAAAAATAATGTTTTCCTCTTTTTCCCTTCAATCATGTTGAGTAACTTAAAAGATAATTAAAAACCCCTGCTTTATATAATTCCGTTTTTGAAAAGCATGAAATCCTTTGCCTGTCTTTTCTTCTGTACTCTATGGGCTCCGTGCGCCAACAAAGGAGGACACCCTTTTACCTAGCAACGACGTCCCATTGGCGGGACATTTAGCTGGTTGATGCGCACCATTCATTGTGTGTGACGCACGTACACCAGTGGATTTGTACTAAGTACACGCAATGGTACGGCCGCGCATCGCGGCAAAATTGCAGTCAGGCAATCACCCCCAACTGTACTTTCTTTGCCGGTGAGGGGGTACTTGTGAACGGAGCGGATATGCAGGGGATAACAGAGAAAACACAGAGACAGGTCATGCCACTTGTACGGTAGATCTATGGCAACATAAAATATGAAGCATACTGGGCGAGTCAAAAAAAGCGGAACCCAAACCCCAAAAAACGTATTTCATATTTAAAAAAATATGTATCACCAAAAATAATAATGACTGGAAAGCCAATTTCAGAAACTACCTTTAGATGAAAAATTACTGAAATTGCTCAATCCAATTAAAGAATATCACCATTTAAACGCAATGACCCTAAAACCTGTTTCATCCAACAACAAAAAATTATTTTGTGTTCCGACTGTTTGGAACAACAAAGAATATGACACAGGCTACATGTACTTGTTTCAACAACTGTCAACAAGTGTGGTACACAATATCTTTATTAACAACCCTGCTTAGGCAAACAATGTGATTTATATAATCCACTTTTTTTCAAAAGATGGGCCTTCAAAAGGACTTTGTTGAATGTTTTTGACTTTTAAACTGAGGTTTTATCACTGGTGATGTTTGAGGACAATTGTGACGACGATTCTTGAACGTGTTGAAGTCGCATTTTTGTCTGAAAGAGGTTTTCGGGTCATTGCGTGTACATTTTTGTAAACATGGTAAATGGTGGTATACTTTGAACGGATTGAGCAATTTAAGTATTTTTTTCATCTAAAAGTAGTTTATGAAACGGGCTTTCCAGTCATTATTTTTTTTGGTGCTACATATTTTTTTAAATATGAAATATATTTTTTGAAGTTGGGGTTCCACTTTTTTTTTTAACTCACCCTGTATAATTTGAAGAGTTTATTTCCAAAATGTGATATAAACCATTTTGTTCCCTTTTAGAATTCCCCTCCCTCCTGACTGCCCAAAGTCAATTTCAACGGCTATAATACAGGATGCCCCCCCCCCACCAAAAAAATCCGGAACTGTATACTTCCACTTTGAGACTCAAACCACCTGAACCAATGGATAGAGAAGAAGAGTTTTAAAAGAAATATGATTACGATACCAATATCTCCCGATTCGATCCAATAGTTTTTGCTGCAGAGGCTACATCTATTTTTTGTGAAGCACACATCTGTCATGTGGGTATTATTGCATTACAATTAATCTCTCGATATCCAGTGAAGTCAAATTCGCGGGCGCAGTTTAGTAATTCATTGTGAAAAAACGACTCCCGACTTTGTTTCACAAAATAGGCTCTGAAACAAAAACTACTTCCTCTTTGCGATTCAAACCACCTGTACCAATGGATGGGGAATCTTTTTACAAGAAATATGATTACGATACCAATAGTATATGTCCCGATTCGGTCCAGTAGTTTTTGCTGCAGAGCCTACATGTATGTATTTTGTGAAGCACACATCTGTCAAGTGGGTATTATTACATAACATGTAATATGATTATTGGTATCGTAATCATATTTCTTGTAAAAAGATTCTCTATTCAATTACGTCAAATTCGCGGGCGAAGTTTTGTAATTCATCAGGACAAACTGGCTCCCGACTTTGTTTCTCAAAATAGGCTCTGGAACAAATGTGATGTGATCAAGCTAAATGAGTCGTTTGTCGACCCTGTTCAATTTTTTTTTTTTTTACAGATTGGAAAAGAGCACAATTTCAGCATTACTGCTGTGAAAACCGCGTGCTGATACCATCTTTAGTTTAAAACTTATGGAAGTTGGAACACCAAGAGATGTGATGAAGTGATGTGATGAAGTGGCCCTATTTTGGCCTGAATCTCCACATGAAAATTCCCTGATCGCATCGCAAATACTACGGGACTGAATCGGGCGATCTTGGTATCATTTTTGTTTTAACAGAATTCCCAATGCAATAGATATTCGAGTCTCAGGGTAGCAGAAGTACGCCGTTTTTTTTTTTTGGGGTCACCCTGTATAAATACTAAAACACAACCTAAGAATACAATACAGTGAAAAATGAAGTTTGGGGAATTGATGACAATAAAATTCAAAATGTTGACCTCTGTTCAATCAATCACGCAGATAACAATTGGGACAATTCAAACACGGGAGTCTGTGAATAGACCGTTCAGTGTTTGGTACCAAGACGTTCACAGAAAAAGTAAACGTGAATTGGCGCATGGCGAGACTTACACGTTCTATTGCCAAACACATTGACAGTGGAACATCACAATTTTTAATTAAAGCATTGTGGCAATTACGTGCATCGTTTGAGACAAATGCCAAATTGTTAATACAGGAAAACCTTTAGTGAGCCACAACGGCACTCAGACACGTTTATAGTTTTCATTAGATCCCTCTCACACCAATACATGAAGCCATTTCGTGGCCACTTCGAGGTGTCCGTGGGCGCAAAAGTTTAAAAATCGAAGTAACCACGAAATGGAATCGGATCTCACGGGTTGCCACGAACTAACCAAAATTAAGGACATGTCCTTCCGTGGGCCGATTCTCACCGGTGCTCCACGAATCACCCAAAAAGTTTTTACATATGTTGAAAAACTGAAACGTGTGCACTTCGGAAATATATTGCCGAATTGAAAACGTGTTCAATACGGCTTATTCGAAGTAATCTCGTAGTGTTCTCAAGGTTGGGCTGAAGTTACATCGGATTTTACGGGATGGCCCCGGATTGATTGTTGGCCTGTTTGACGGCCGTTTTCATTATGTCCGTGAGCCCCGTTTTTATTTATGGATTACGGACGTCAGAGTGAGCTCCGGAGTCCACGAAGTGTCCACGAGACATGAGCACGGGTTGGGCCCGTGGTGTTTCCGAGGTGGCCACGGATTACTCACGAAGTAAAAACGGGTACCACGAAATAAAAACGTACTGGCATCAAAAATCGAACAAAAAAACGGAGACCACGGATACTGTTGAAAAAATTGCATTTCCGAAGTGACCTCGCACTGGTCTTGGATTGGTGTGAGAGGGGCATTACATGCAGTGCATGTCTGAATTAATTTGCAACATGTTTCTCTGCTTTCAAAAAGAAAAATGGGAAAAAGAAGAAAAACAATGTGTATACATATATTGCTGTACAAAAATTGTGACCATTTTAGATACGACTGTAATCTCCAAGCCGGGTGACTTCATCAATACAGTTCATTTAAAGTTCACTGCCAATAAAAGGATCAAAGTACATGATACACACACGTCAAATTCATACTCAGTGACGTGCTCTAGAAAACCCAATTGGGTTCAAATGTGTTATCAATTTTCCATTAAAAATTTTTCATTAGTAATTTTTTCCCAGACTGACAGAAACACACTTCCATTCGCAGTAGCGGTACTTGACTTACATGTGTATGTGTTTTTTATTTTTAAGAAATGCTGGTATGTAATCTTGTCAAAATCATATAGAGCACAGAATGGCTCCTGTACTGTGAAATGTTTGTGTTGTGTATTAACCGGCGGCATAGCTGGGGGGGGGGGGGGGGACACCATCTTTTCATGGGTTCGCTGTTCAATACCGAAATCATTGTCATTGTAAGACATAAGGTGGCACTATTCACTTTCCACGGGACATTAGAATGAACAGTCAATCGCGAAAAAAAAAAACAGTGATTGTGTAAAAAAAATAAAAATTGTGAAAATGTGCACTTAAAGTTAAACCCTCTAATCATGCTTATGTGCTTTTCTCCAGTTGCCAAATTTACAGGGGGGGGGGGGCGCCTCTACCCCACCTCCCACGTAGCTACGCCGCAGGCATTAATACGAACGCAGGCCGATATACACGTGTATCAACCGAATATTATACCTTTTTAGGTGGGCTTGTATTTCTAACAAAATAATGCCTTACAGAAGTCTGTGGAGAAAGCTAAATGGTCAAATACGAATAACACCATCCCAACTCCAAAAATTCATCACACAGCATTACACGTAATCCTTTTTATATAAATATATTCCTATTTTACTGTGTCATGGCTGTACAGAAACTCACAGAGTGTCTGAAACTTACATTGCACACTGGCTATGGGGCTTGGTTCTTATACCAGTCGGAGACATCATACGTTGTAGTGTGGGCGACCGTTGAGCATGTCTGGTTTACCGATGATTCGACCATCCAACAAATCGGACTGGACCGTGGGCAGGAAGGGCCTGTGCTTGACCAGGTTGTCACGGTACTTTGCCTGCAATGGAACCGGCGGGAATGTAAATGAAAAGAGGTGCAATATTGAAAAGCTTGATAACGCAATATCGAAAAGCTTGATAAGGCAACAACAAAAAATATTCGGTCTCTGGTCAGACCAAAGTTCCGGAATTGACGAGGCCACGCGGCTTTTTTTTTTTCCTTCAAGCTTGGATTGTACAGACAGGGTGGGTACTATTTTGCTTTTTTGGTGTCCTCATGTACATTGGTGTCCTCCATAATTTGCCTTGGTGCTTTCGATCATTTGCCTTGGTGCAATTTCCCATTCCTTGGTGCTCTTTGGTAAAAAAAATTGAGGAGGTGCAGAAATAGAGGGCGCTGTTGGAGCTACCGCGGAACATTTTGGAAAAAAAAGAGATCAACGCGCATGATTAAAATCGACGCGCGTGCTGACCAGAGACCGACTTATTATTTTTTGGGGCCTAATAAAAAATACGCATCCTAATTACTTTTGTGTTTTTTTTGGCTAAAAAGTTGGAGCAATCCATCAAAAATCTTCCGCTGTGCAAAGAAATGACTAGTCTGAAGATCAGGCATTCACGTGTGCAGAGCCACACGAACGAACGCCCGATATATCCTAGCATGCACATTACAGTCGAGTCTCGTTATAACAAACTTGTTCGGACCTAGCCAAATTGTTTGTTTTATCAGAATTTTGTATTAAGAGGAACATCAGTCCCATTCATTGTGCATATAAACGCACAGTCAGGACCAAGGCTTTACGTTTGTTATAACCAGAATTTTGTATTAACAGAGTTTGTACTAATGAGGGTCGACTGTATATGGGACCCAGCGCACCAGCTAATCGGAGTCAAGTTTAGAAACTGTGATGTCATTACGATCAGAAATGTGGACTAAGCTGTTGATTGGTCAATTTCGCTGCCATGATTTTGTAAAATAACAACGGGTTACAGAAGAGCCAATAGAAGGCACCTACTAAACAGGCAGAATCTTGAGGTCGAGAGACAGTCTTGTTTTGCATAATAAATCTCCGTGAATATCATAGACTAAGAAATAAGACGTTCTTTGCAATTTCTAAGATATCCAACACCATCAGGCTGATGACTTGGCTGTACCTTCCTCAATCCCGCAAATTCCTCCAAAACTGCAAGTGCAGTTTTGAAGGATGCTCAAGGGTTAGGGTTCAAATAGAATGAAAACCTGAAGTTCCTCCGAAGATGATTGCAAGCTTAGAAAAAAAAAAGTCAATGAAAAAGTGTTTCTTCATTAGAGGATGGGAAATTTAAATAACCATTTTTTTTATCTTCAAATAACATGAAAACAACTTGGGATTACAAAAATAACGTCAATTTCATTTAGTGGATTGTTTTTAAGTTGGAAGTTGTCAGACATTTGATTCCTGCCTGTGTACGGTAGTTCTGTGGGGATTTTTGTCCCCTTTTTTGGGGTGGGTGGGGTATTTGAAAACCAAAATCACACTAAAAAAATCTGAGATTAGGATGTAGATGGGGATGTGTTTGTTCGTTTTTCGGCTTCTCTTACCAAATTGTAACACAGCACGCCAAAGATGGCTGTCATCATGCCCATGACATTGATCAGGGTCACGGGGTTACGGAGCATGAGCAGTGACAGCATGATGACAAAGATGCGCTTGGTGGCGTTGGCGATGGAGTAGCTGAGCGGGGAGATGAGGTGCAGAATACTGAAGGCAAAGATGTTCTGTAGGAAGTTGAAGGCCCCGCTGGTTAAAAGGAGGGACAGAGTCCAGACCCAGTTGACTTTATGATGCTGTTGGGGGCAAAAAATACAAATAAAGTGAACTTTCACGGAGTTAAATATTAATTTTACCTCTGAACTGTAGAGTAGATCACTAGCAGGTATCTAAGTAACTGACCAAATCATTGTTCAAAAGCTTACTTGGCACTAAACTCCCCGGGAAATTATTTCTTCTGTCATGCTGCCATTTTGAAGAATGCAATCAACAAAAGTCACTTCCAAAGATGAGACGAGTGATGTATTTTTGGAAATTTCCGTAATTGGGTGAATCCTTGAAAGGGTGCGCGCAAGCGTTGACACGACGTACGCGCGCGTGATTGCTATTATTCGTCGGTTCAGTGCGCGACATCGCCTAGAGCTGCAATCGGCTGAATGAGAAGATGTCCCGGATGCTGATTACGGTCGCAATTCAAAATCTCACTTGGCAATTTTTGAATTGAAATCAAGATCCTAGAATACTGTTTTCTCAGAATGTATACAGCATTCACTGAGCTAAAACTTCATCAGGTTAGTTATTAAGCGCCCATCTTTAGAATTTTGAGCACTTTTGTTGCTTCAAACGAAACAAATGCACAAATGACAAATGATGTACTCTACCTTTATATGGTAAGGGGGGGGGGTAATTTTTTTAGCTGATGTCTTCCCCCTTTTTGAAGCCAATTTAAGTGTAAAAACCTAATCATCAAAAGTCAATCACAGGTCTCACTGCCAAGCGTGTCTCCAAGACAAGTGGCATGCTGAACTGAGAACAGTGATAAAAACACTATTTTATCACCATTTTATCACTATTTACAGGCATGCACTGGAAATTTAGGGGAAAAAACGAGGAAACTCCAAACCACACAAGACTTTGTACAGTATTTTCAATTTTTAATGGCATTCATGAGAAGTAAAAAAACGAAGAAATCAGCTGATCCGAGGAGAGGTTGCATGCCTGTATTTATCAGCTGTTACTGGTCATGCTGGTAGCCACACTTGTGATTTGACTTGTGACTGAACTGTGATTGACTTGATTACAACGGCGTTAATGGGAGGGGGTATCGAGGAGTCCAGTCTACCCCCTTGTCTTTTTGCGCTGACCAGGCCTGGGGATTAAGTTCACAAAAAGACGAATGAACATTTGTGTGGTTACCATATCTCTGTCTCGGAGTATTCTCCTCAGATCAACGACCATCCAGATGGGTAGAAGCATGACAGAGGCCAGCTGACTGATGATAAGTAGAAGGCGTAGATGATGAATGCCGATATCCCTGAGCGCCTGCAGAAAACAAAAACAAACAAACAAAAACAAATAAACAAGATAATAAAAAAAAACAAATTATCGAACAATTAACCACAATGATCGTAATTACATCAGGGGACAATCTACGAAAGAGCTGCAAAGCAGAAAATGTCGCTTAGCAGATTTTTTTGCTCGGCAAAATTCAGTAGGAAACCAGTCACAGGCAATGTACAAGGCATGAAATGTTTTCTTTCTTTCTGACTTTCCAAGGAGCTATCACCCTTTCCACCAGATTTTGAAGTTGTACAAATGGCTACAGCTTTGCTGGAAACACATAAAAAGATTGCAAATTGAAACAAAAGGAAAAGGACAAAAAAAGGGAGGCCGGACAAAAAAGGAAGCGGGCGGGGACAAGAAACTGGCTTATTTGTTTTTTATATTTGTTTTTTATATTTTAAATCTTTGATCAAAGTGTGTTTGTCAGAAGCCATCAACCTGTATGCATGGTATACACATGTACATGTACATGTATCACATATGCCACGTTTCACTCACAAATTCCTAATGCAGGCAATATTAACAATATCGCCAAAATTGTAGAGGGATACATGTCAGCCTACATGTACATGTACCTGTACCGGTACATGTATTAACTTTTACTACTAGAAATTATGCATTTTCTTTACAACTCAGTATCAAGTCAGCACAAATGATCACTGACTGAATGGCAGCCATATGATTATACAATTTAACTGCAAAGACAATAAAACAGAAATTGTCAGACTGCCAACTGCAGGCTGGTTATATCTGAAGAGTGTTCCAGTGGTCACAGGTATAACCCTACTCCAGTCTATTGCTTTGCGTAACCGTAACTCCCTAGCGTCTTTTACTAGGAACTGGACCAAGTCCATCAAAATCGATCAATCAATCACTGTGCTTCCAATACAAAACTGTATATGAAACAATGGAATCCACCACTGACGCACTGGTTGACATTCATGGACTTGCTACACATGACTATAATCACAATAGCAGTACAGGAAGCTAGGCAAAATCAATCGGATACCCCAAGCACTGCTTCAGGCCATTAGGCCCAAGTCCATCATAGTCCATCAATATTTAGTCACGCCAGGCCTTCTGGACCAAGTCCCCCAAAATCCACCAAAATATAGGGGGATGGATTTTGATGGAGTTGGGGTGGTTAGGGTTAAACTATATACTTACGTACCAATTGTATAATAACATAAATGCTAAATGTACACAAACATGTAGTTTTGATCATTAAAATTTGCATCTGGCCCTACAAGCACATAATACACATAATACAGTTAACAACTTTCAGGTTTTCTCTGTGAAAATCGGTAGACTAAAAAAATGGGTAGATTAAAAAAGGGGGTACACATGTGTTGGTTGGATGGTTAAGAAGATTTCTGATAATTTTGGAGGTCATCAGCTGAAAATAGAAAGTCAAATGTATACTCTTATACACGCGTAGTTCCTGTTTTTTTTAATCATAACAAAAAATCACATGCACATGTTGATATTTATCACTGGCTTCATTAGAGTAGTGCAACTTGCACTTTTACTATAACAGGCCCCAATTTTCCTAGGAATTTTCCACACCCTCTAGAGGGAGTTACAGCAGGGTTAAAGGGAATATACAACATTTGCAAACATCGAAAAATAAAACTACCAAGTTTTTACGAAATACCTTACTAGGATGTTGGTAAATGACAGTCTAAAGCGTCCTGTAAAATTATGGCACCTGGTGTAAAGTCATTTTCAAGAAAATGATATTTTTGTATACATTTCCTACGGTTGTCGGCCGACCACCGTTGGAAAAACCTAACTATTTTTCAACTACGGCTCAAATTTACCATACGGCTCAAATTTACCATCTGTTTCAGTCCAAATTGTTTGCTATTGGTTACATGTTCATGAACAGGTGCAGGCCAGCTTGACTGGCTCCCTTACCTTACAATTTTCCGGCATTTATAAATTGATCCATTTCATCTTTAGTGCAGTCAGGGAACCAGACTACTTGAACGTTTTTGTTTTTCTTGGTTTTCCAGCATTTTCGAACACAAAACTTCAAACATGTCAGTGAAACGACATTTTGATCTATTATACTAACCCCTCAAATAGTTCATTTCTGAAAATTACAGCAAAAGCCAATGATGTACATTCCCTTTAACCAAATGGGCACCTACTGACAGGATCAGCAATGTGAACAATAACCGTGTGCGTCGGTTCATGGAGTGGGGTTCGTACCATGGGTACATGTACACAAACAGTGTGTTGTCAATGGATAGCTATTGAATTGATACTTGAGCCCTCAGTGAACGTATTGAAGGAAACCAAACAAATGTAGTGCCTCAGTTCTATTTTGCACAAGTTGTGTATTTGACACACCCATTGCATGCAATTTAAAACTGTGGATCAGATAATCCTGGTTTCATACATGTGACAGTGTGTAATGCTGTACTGTACAAATGTATGCACATGTACATGTATGTAATGCACTCTTGTGTACATATGTATACATAGTATACATTTTGCTGTATACAAATGTACATACATGTACCATCATACAGTAAGGCCTACAAAAAAAAGTCTCCGGTTTCTGGTATGCGCGCGCGTCGCCGTAGCCATGCGCGTCGGCAAAATGGAAAAGTTTTTTTTTTCAATGAAAGATGATGTCTCAAAACCGCCAAACTCACTGGTTTGACTGGAATCCTACTGCTGCACAATTTAACGTGTTTTTAGATTGGGTTGTGGTCGAGAATAAGCTTTATGTGGCCTCTCTGGACTCCCATATATTTGCAAAGTCGGGCACCATTTGCAGTCATCAGCCGACATTTGAAGCAAAAAAATCAGGTAAAAAAAAAAAAAGCTGCGTCACCGCACCACTTTTTGGGCAAGCTCCATACCAGAAACCGGAGACTTTTTTTTTTGGCCTAATGTAAAAATGCTGAAATCCTATCTGAACTTTCATGGCCATGTGATTCTCTAAACATATTTAACTGTCCAGTGTTCAGCAACTGGCTATCAAGTCACAAATTTAAATGTTTGAGTTTATAAATATTTGGAAAGAAAGCATGGAACGTGTTAAAATAATATAAATAACCTGAATGCATTTGTGCTTCCTAAATGTACATGTAGTCATGTACATGTACCAGTGCACAAAGATCAAGTTTTCAAGGTCAATATTAGTGCTGGGCGTGTAACGCGAGTACTCAAATACTCGTGAGTAGCATTTGCTACTCGTTGTTCTACTCATGGTTTTTCATCTAATCGAGTACTCATCCTGGTGCGAGTTGAGGTAGATAGTCGCGAGTAGCAATTTGTTTTACAAGTGCTGACTTAAAAGAAAGTAACCACTTGAGATTTGTGTGTCAAACTTGTCTTTTGTCTTAATACGTCCCCGCAATAAAGGAATCACTACCTCCATCTGTTTCCGTGGGAGTCCACTAGCACTCTCAACAAATAAATTTTCAAGTAAAATGAGCCAACATTTTGCGTAGTAAGGATATCTCAGTGCTGTAGAATGTGGTGTGTCTTCCATCATGTCCATGCTGTTTATTCATGTAGAAACTTCTTTCTCAGTAATGTTTATGCCATTTTTCCCTGTTTTGATGGGAATTTAGTAAACTACTCGCGAATACTCGACTACTCGTGAGTAATTTCTCTGCGAGTACTCGAGTAGGAAAATCTACTACTCGCCCAGGCCTAGTCAATATACAATTTATAAACTATTTTTAAACATGGAGGTTTTCCTACACCCATGCTTTAAAGGGAATATACAACATTTGCAAACATCGAAAAATAAAAGTACTAAAGTTTTTACGAAGTACCCTACTAGGATGTTGGTAAATGACAGTCTAAAGCTTCCTGTAAAATTATGGCACCTGGTGTGGAGTCATTTTCAAGAAAATGGTATTTTTGTATACATTTCCAGCGGTGGTCGGCCGACCACCGTTGGAAAACCTAACTATTTTGCAACTACTGCTCCAAATTTACCATTTTTTATTCAGTTCAAATTTTGTTTGCTATTGGTTACATATTCATGAATGGGTGCAGGCCAGCTAGACTTGTTCCCTTACCTAACAATTTTCCGGCATCTGGAAATTGATCCATTTTATCTTTAGTAGAGTCAGGGAACCAGACTACTTGAAAATTTTAGGGTTTTTTTCTTGGTTTTTCCAGCATTTTCAAACAAAAAACATCAAACATGTCAGTGTAACAAAATTTGATCTATTATAGAACCCCTCAAATATTTCATTTCTGAAAATTACAGCAAAAGCCAATGATGTACATTCCCTTTAAACATGATAAGCTGAACTTCTGAAATTCAACATTTCTGGAATTGTCAATCATCCTACATGGCAACTTGAGAATTGAAGGAGAACACTGCGAACCACTGTGTTCTGTGAGAAAAGAATATTAAAACCGCCAGGATCCTGGTGCGACTTCAAACCCTATTAGTGGACGGTCATAATCTATTCAGTTCTACTCTGCATGACAGTTTGGTTGAAGCAACCGACCGTGAAGATGCGGGGAAAAAAAAATACCCACTCACCTTTTTAGAATATACGTTTTGTAGCGCAAACGTGACGGTGGCAACAACTGCCATTGTGAGTCCTAACACGTCAAAGGAGGCTTCTGTTAACGTCGCTACCATCACTCCGAATATGATAGGAATGAGTGATAGGTATATCTGGCCAAAAAGAAAGAGAGTACATAAAGTGGACTGTTAATATTTGTATTTCGTAGCAATGATGGGGTGGATGCTGCGTAATATGAATGTGAAATTCACAAAATGTTACTTTGTTTATGTCAATAAACCATGCCTAATTACATTATTGTGTACGTTGTTCTGATGCTATTATTAGATTTGTACTATTTCAACGAACATTTTGTCCTCAGCATTAAAGGGACATCACGGCCTGGAATACGCCCACTTAGGCTACAAAATGCATTTTTAACGAAATGATATTTAATGGAAAGGGCATTCAAAAGTAGAATATAACTGGTCGTTTTTGTGTTATTCTTGCGAGAACCATGCATGAATGAATTTCGGGGTTCACAATTTTGTCCCGAAAAAATCGAGCTGTTCAGTGTTAGTAGTGATTCCAACCGCAAAGTAGTTCACCTTCTGCGGATGTGTAAGAAACAACATTTGTGCATTGGTGCTGTGTGTAATTTATGCAACACACACGGCGTGCATTGTACATTGAATGAAAACGATAGGAAATACGTATGCGTACGGTACTTCATCGTGTCCCATGTAAACAGCCATGTTTTTTTTTTCTTTTCTCAGGAATGGTAATGCATTTACAGGTTACAACATTGTTTATATTGTATAAGTACACAATCCAAAACAGGAAATTGTCGAGGATTTCAGGCCGTAATGTGTCTTTAAGCGCCATGACATACATGTATGCATGATCAACAATTCAACAGTTGGTGAAAATTGAGAAAGAAGAATAAAAACGAAGGTCATGTTCAAACAAGTCCAATAAAATGTTTAAAACAATGCATGCGGTATACATGGGCGTGTACGTTCCTTTCTCAGGCATGCAACTGGGAAGTCACAAAAAAAAGAGGATATTCAAATCTTTTCAAGACTTTGTACAGTGTTTTCTATTTTCAATGGCACACATTGGAAGTAAAAAAAGAGGAAATCAGCTGATCCGAGGAAAAGTTGCATGCCTGCTTTCTTCATGTTCTTGTTTTGTCAACAACAGACACTAGGGTGTTGTGTAGTCAAGAGGGAACCACCCAAATTATGGTGGACCAACGTAATTCAGCCAGAATAAAATGCCCTTCAATTGAACTGAACAACAATCAATGCCATTATGGTAGGCTGCACAGAATATAAACTTGGTTGAACGCATGTCTACCACCTGGACTATGCAACAAAACATCAGACCATGGCCTGCCATGCGTCAGCCATGCATGCATTCATGCCATTATTTTTTAAGCATTTGGGACAGTACAGACCTGCATGCGAAACTGCTACAGCTGCTGAGCTCACAATGAATTTGTCTACTTTGGCCAGTGTTGGAGCAAAGGCTTTGACCCTCAAGGCCAAGGCCAAGGCCAAGGCTTTGACCCTCAAGGCCAAGGCCAAGGCCAAGGCTTTGACCCTCAAGCCTCGAGGCCAAGGCCAAGGCTTAACCCTCAAGGCCAAGGCCGAGGCCAAGGCCCTGTTTTATGAAATGACCACTGATATAGAACTAATTATAGTCACATGAGTGACACATCACGCAAGGGCGGATCCAGAACACGATTGGGGGGGGGGGGGGCAACAAAATTTTGGTGTCCCCCCAAAAATAAAAAGTGAGTCATAAAATTACAGCTTGGGCTTCGGGGCCCGCCCGAAAAATGTTTGGATTCGAGATGCTCTGTGGTGCGATTTGAGGTAATTTCTGACCATTTTAACCGATGTTTTTTGAGGAAAAGATGGTGGTGTACTCATTGCCTGCCTTTATTACGACGTCACATAAAAAACATGCTTTCGTTTTTTTTAGGGGGGGTCATTGCCTCTTTTGGCCCCCCTGGATCCGCCCTTATCATCACGATTGCTCGTTACGAAGAACAACATTTCTTTAATTGCAATCAACATGCTCGCATAGGCCTACACCGTTTTATGACTGCACTGAATCTATTAAAGTATAAGTTCAGGTTTTCATTATGGTTTAACTAAAAAAAAATAATGATTTACTTCTATATTGACACACAATTCTCCCAAGTGTAACAAAAGGGAGATCCAAGAAACTGATTTGGGAAATTTTTATTTGCTGGCCCAACATGGTCAGAAATATCAGCATTATCTAAACCAGATACATGCAAATCTTTAGCACTTATCAGGGAGACAAATACAACCAATCAGATTTAGGCCTATTCCATAGTTATATGCAATTAAAGTGATCATCTCATTAGCCCCACAAGTGTACGGAAAATTTTTGCAGCAAATCTACTACAATGGTAACAAAATATGATGCTACTAAAGTGGAAGTGTGCCCAACACACAAATCTATAGGGTGCTTCCCTCCTCCATGGTAATACGATTAAAATGGTAACAGCAAAATTTCGAACAGATTTATCTGGAAAATGCAAAAATCTATGGGCCTTGAAGAGCCTTGACTCAAAATTGCAAGGCCCTGAACCCTCAAGGCCAAGGCCAAGGCCAAGGCTTTTGCCCTCGAGCCTCGAGGCCAAGGCCAAGGCCCTAAAATCCAGCCTTAAGGCAGCCTTAAGGCCAAGGCCCAGCATCAAGGCACTACATCACTGACTTTGGCATGTTTGGCAGCCCACTTTTTAAATGCTAAATTTAATGATTTGTTCAAAAAGAATGAAAATGTGCTGTCCTCAAATTGGGATATCTGTTGCCTGAAATCCATAATTTGTTGTTTGGACAAGTTTATTCATGACCAAGATAATAACATCAGTTAAAAAGTTCATAGTCATTACTTTTTTTCTTTTTTTTATTTCTTACAATGCAGCAATGGGGAAAAAGACACTTAAAGGGAATATACAACATTTGCAAACATCGAAAAATAACACTACTAAGTTTTTACAAAATACCTTACTAGGATGTTGGTAAATGACAGTCTAAAACATCCTGTAAAATTATGGCACATGGTGTGATTTCAAGAAAATGGTATTTTTGTATACATGTACATTTCCAACAGTGGTCGGCCGACCACCACTGGAAAAACCTAACTATTTTTCAACTACTGCTCCAAATTTACCTTTCTTTTCAGTCCAAATTTTGTTTGCTATTGGTTTGATGTTCATCATGAACGGGTGCAGGCCAGCTACACTGGTTCCCTTACCTTACAATTTTCCAGCATCTATAAATTGATCGATTTTATCCTTAGTGGAGTCAGGGAACCAGACTGCTTGAACATTTGTCTTTTTCTTGGTTTTTCCAGCATTTTCGAACACAAAACTTCAAACATGTCAGTGTAAAACAATATTTGACCTATTATACTAACCCCTCAAATTTCATTTCTGAAAATTACAGCAAAAGCCAATGAAGTACTTTCCCTTTAAAACTGAGACAGAGTTTGAATATTACTAGCAAGAGAGCTGTGCAAGGTTTTAGTTTATAATTACTGTATGTCAATGTGACTACTTAAAGGGAATATACAACATTTGCAAACATCGAAAAAAAAAACTACCAAGTTTTTGCGAAATACCTTAATAGGATGTTGGTAAATGACAGCCTGAAGCATCCTGTAAAATTATGGCACCTGGTATACTGTCATTTTCAAGAAAAGTGGTATTTTTGTATCAATTTCCAACGCTGATCGGCCGATCAGCGTTGGAAACAACTGGCTTTTTTTCAAATACTGGCCCCAATTGACCATTGCACTTGTTTGCAATCGATTACAAACCTATGAACGGGTACGAGCCAGCTAGACTGGTTCCCTGACCTTACAATTCCCCAATGTATGTAAACTGCTCTGTTTCTTCTTATATGGAGTCAGGGAACCAGACTACAGGAAAATGATCGTTTTTCTTGGTTTTTATAGCATTTTCGAACCCAAAACCTCCAAAAAGTCAGTGCAACTATATTTGCTTTATATTTCCAACCCCCCAATTCCATCCATTTCTGAAAATTACAGCAAAAGCAAATGATGTATATTCCCTTTAATACTTGCAGATTCCATTAACACTGGTGGTTGTGCAATCAACTTGGCGTCTGTTGAGACATGGTTCACTGGTTTTGTACACCTACATGTAAGGCCTAAGGGGGAAAATTCTATCTTTGGTTTACAAAACACCACGGATTACAATGCGCACAATTGTGTAGCTATGCCATCTATCACTGGAGATTGATGTGGTTACTTACTGTAGTTGTCTGTTTTTCTTTTAATATAAGTCTTGATAACAATACTGTGAAGATGGGCATTGTGGCTTTCACTGGAAAAAGAAAATAAAAATAGAGATTAATAACAAATTTGATTTAATAACACAATGGAAGAAGAACTCACACAAAGTCCTGTTTTTGTTCAGAAGAAATTTGATACAGCTAGCTAAACTTGCACTAAATTTGAATTACATGGACTCCAAGCCAGTTCGACATTCCAACCGCGCATGTGCACAACCAGATTTTACTATTTTTTTCTTTTAAATGCACACAAGACTGAGCAATTTTCGTGCAATCGAAAAGACAACGGAAATTTTCATTCGCACAAAAGCTTGGACACACAAGGCACCTAAAACAATTCGCTGTCTGAACATTTTTTTTTTGAAAATGTTACTTTAGAACACAACGATCTCTTCGCTGGTACTGCTTTTGCCCACATATGATGAAAGTTTATACTGCGCAGTTGGAATAACCTGTTAACCAAGGACATTTCACAAAATTGTGGATTTGAATTTAAACTAAAAAAATATAGGCCTATACTAGGCCCATAGAGAGAGTTTATCATCTTCTATTTTAATTTTAACATTTAAAAATATATTATTATGGAAAGAATGTTGCAACCTGACACTGCTTTTTTTTCCCTTCATATATCATCACAATGATGAAGGTCAGTCGATGCAAAAAAAAGATAAGACATGAATCTGGGACTGAGAAACATTTCCAATTTTGTTAGGAAATACTTTGAAAAATGTTCTTGACACTCCATGTACAAATGTAGACTTTGTACTCAACCAATGAAGTAGCGTCAGGTTGCAACATTCTTTCCCTTACCATGCTTACCAACATGTTCAAAGTTAGCCCCATAAATGTGGCCTATTTACTGGACTGACTCCGTAAACATAGGCCACACATCCACATGTACAAAAATCATGTCGACGGAGCCAAATTTTGATTTTCACATTTAGGCTTAGTTTGTAGGGTTTTTTTGCTTTAGAAGCATACTCACCCTCTTTACAGGCTAATCAGAAAGTGCTGCCTTTTTCAGATGTCTAATTTTTGTGAAATTTCATGTTGAAATTTTGATACGCAAACGTGTAAAAATGAATCTGGAAATTTCACGAAAAATATACATCTGAAAAAGGCAGCACTTTCTGATTAGCCTGTAAAGAGGGTGAGTATGCTTCTAAAGCAAAAAAACCCTACAAACTAAGCCTAAATGTGAAAATCAAAATTTGGCTCCGTCGACACGATTTTTGTACATGTGGATGTGTGGCCTATGTTTACGGAGTCAGTCCAGTAAATAGGCCACATTTATGGGGCTAGTTCAAAGTGATCATCGTGATCATCATGATCATGACATATTTTTCTACTGACTTTTAAGTGAAACCGTGGAGCTATACTATAGCTCCACCATGTCCATGGTGCAGGTGACACAAAAAAAGTTTTCCAGACCAATGACATGCAAATACATGAAATAGGCCGTAGGCCTATGTCATGTGTTAAATAATATTGCAAAAAAAATTGCAGGAATTTACCTGTGTGAGCGAAAGATATCGATACTTTCAAAATACTAATTTCAGCCGAGACGGAAGAGAAGAATTTGCCGAAAGCCAGCGGTACGATCAGCTGGTAGAAACTCCGCTTATCTACGATATCCGGCTGCGGCACATTCCACAGTCTGAGTACGGGCGCCAGGAGCACAGCCACGGCCAACATGTGGCACATGGACACGGTGGTCGGGTACGGGAACTGACCGAACAAATGTTTGTTGATGACGTTCTGAAGCAAGCTGCTGGTGTACCACATCACACACAGGAAGAAGATCCGCACGCCGAACCGGTAGATGTTCTCTGTGCCGGCCATGTTGTTGTTTTTCTCGATGTTTGAGGGGCAAGTGGTATCATCAGAGTCTGAATCCGCCATGTCCGTTCGGCGTTTCGATCGGGAATAAAAATGTGGCCATGTTGCAAGTTCCACGTATTATGAGCGCGCCAGTCATCAACAGAGGTCGCTGTTTACACGTACACCGTACACTGCCTGGATTATGGGGGGCGTGGCCGGGCGGGGATTTCATGCAAGGCACAGTCACCCAGAAATCGCTTTTATTTTAGTTTAACGTTCATTTCTTGTTTTTAATCTCTGATAAACTTAATTCAAGGATCTAGGTCTGTGATTAAATAAAGTACCTTTTATGAAATGGTGGGACACACTGGGATATTTTCCTAAGAAGGGGCGAGGCCAGGGGCAGGCATAACTTTTAATCTTCCACGACTGGACCAACTCCAAGCAAACACGAAGAAATTAAATAGCGTAGTTAATATCGTAATTCCATTTATTTCATTATCAGTAGGCTTCAACCCGTAGAATTCTTAATGTACAGTTTTTTTTTTACATTACCTTTTGCAATGTGAACTTCTTAAATTTGGGGATTCATCGCACTAGTATAAGATTATTATAATTAACTTATAAAAATGTGTTTCCCACAGTTGTTTTTGTAACAAACTAACATCCTTGATCACAGTTTCAATTGAATTATTCTTTGTCAAATGCCACTCCTGTTGTCCTACCAATTGTGTAATAAGGCACATTACATTTACTGTTCGGACACTTAATGAGTGACAGATACTATTTTTTTCACCTGCTATGATATTCTGCTGGATTCTGCTCCACTTTTTTTTCCTTTTCATTGTTAATTTTGTGATAATTCCAATAATATCAACATCTTGCATTGTGTACCAAAAGGATTTTGAACCCAAGCCACAATATCTGCAGGCAATGCTACGGAGCTGCTGAGCACAGGAATTTGCAAAAGAAGGAAAACAATGTCCAAACAAACACAGGTTAACTAGAACAATATCCTCCTTTCCTGAAATTTGCCAACCGAAATGGAAAGGCCCAGTTTTTATATTGCCGCGTACTCATTGTATGTTATTGCGGGTCACAGATCAAGTTGCAAAGCAATATTTCCTGTTATATAAATGACATACAGATCCTTGTCATTTGATTGGCAGAACTCCCATTCGCCAATGGGGGAATGGGAAATACTATTGAACAGTTAGGATCGATGCTAGTTCCATGACGCAGTATTTGTGTGCAAATGCATGCTGGCGTGCGCGTTCAGCATTACGCATAGTGCGTATTGTCTGTGATACAAAACAAATATAGAGTGGCTTTAAATTGTGAAATGGGAGGAATATTATCGCTCTGTAAAATCTGGACTTTTCCAGTTCACTCAGCTTCGCCTCGTGAAATGGAAAAGTCCAGATTTTTCCTTGCAATAATATTCCTTCCATTTCACTCTGAGCTACTCATTTTTTGTATACTTGATAACTCCCTGAAGTATTAAAGTAAATAGTGGCTGACCACCACAAACATTTCAAGAGCCTGTTTCAATTCATATCTGGGACGAGTTCCGGACAAGCTGTCGATAGAATCACTCACTTTGTCCAGAAGAAGCTCCGCATTGCCCAGGACATGTTATTTGGGAATTTTCATTAGCAACTGCTTGCCTCTCTGATACTGAAAACATCAGTGCAGGAAGACTGCTCAAAAGTTGTTCAAACTCCTGCAACTTATACCCGATACATTGTCCCCAACTTGTCTGGAACTCATCCCAGATGTGAATGGAGACGGGCCTAAACTCAATGAAATCACCTCAAATTAGGCTTCTTTTTCCCCCCCCCCCCCCCCTTCACCGACGTATAAACACTGTATACTCAGTGTGTTACCTCCCAAGCGAAAGTTGGAAAAAAATCACTCGGGTGGGACTCGAACCCAAGACCTCCTGCTTTCACCTCCTTGGAGCAGGATTTGACTTCCAAGAACCAGACTCCCCCCCCCCCCCACCCCGCCCCCCACAAATAGAAAACGTGTATCGACGTCATCTCTTGGTGACCCCCTTTCTCTTTTTCCCATAAAACGGTCTCTTGCCGCCCCGCTGGAACTTCCCCTGTGGATTGGCTGTCTTGGCCGCATCCTTGCTCGCTGTTGAGCCCTTGGAGTGCAGGAAGTTCCACAGCAACGATGCGTTCCCACTGTGCTCCAACGTCTCGGCCAATTGCTCCTGACTCATCGCACTCAGCTCTGTGAAATCGCTGACACATTTGAGAAGACGCCTGCAAAAAATTACATATCAAAACGATTAGCTCATTTGCACGTTAGAGTGCTGAGGGCACTTTGATTGAAAAACACCATCTTTTGGCAGGTGCCTTTGTGCAGGAGCAGTAACTTACTACCTGACTTAAACATTCAGGATTCTTTCAATGTGTAGGACACTGGTTCTTTCAAGTGCTTAGTTTGTGGCCAATCCGATAAAAAAAAGGGAGGCCAAAACAGGCAATTCCCAATACAGTGCACCACCAAGAGGCATGGGCGTCGCGGGGAAGGCAAGGGGGGGGGGGGCAAGTGCCCCCTCTAAAACTGATAAATCGAGAATGTGTTGAGAAATACAAGCATTTTTTGGCAAAATTTTTTTTTGCCCCCCTCTAGAAAAAATCCTGGCGACGCCCATGCCAAGAGGTACCATGGAGTGTAAATTTTTCACAGTGCATTGTGGGAGACGGTGGACAAATTTGCCATAGTGTGGGACACTTAAAATCGTCAGTTTGTACGATCAGTAGCTTTGTAAGCGTATGATTCGAGTATGTTTTTCTTTTCTTTTCTTTTAATAAAGATGGTGTTTTTTTTTAAGGCGGCAGAGTTCTTTGCCCTGATCTATCAAACATTTCCTCAAGTTGTCTACTGACATTCGTTCACATTACGACAATTCGGCCATGTTTTTGTCGACTGTAAACTTTAAAAATAATGGACTCTCCGTGGCAACCTGTTGGTGGTGGACTGTACTGGGAATTGCCAGTATGGCATGTATGGTAGAATTAGTGAGGATCAATGTTATGCAGTTTGCATGCACACTCATAGTCTGAATAAACATGATAGACCATCCATTGATGAGGTCAGCATGAAGCCAAGCGCAAATACAAATTTCAGCTCCCATTGTGAAATTATTTATTACCATCAATATTTCACTTTATGGAGGCATTCCGAGGCAGTGATAAGAAACTCTCTATAGTAGAGCTGATCTCACAAAATCCCTTCCATGCTTTATTTGAAAATTAAACTTAAATCCAGTCAATTGGGATTTAAACTTCCTCCACCAAAATGTACGCCATATTATGGAGAAGAGGAGCCTAACTTCCGCCACAAGACACTGACCTGCAATTGGTGACATTGACCCCAGGCATCTTGAGCAGCATGTCGTAGGGTCCGTGGTTGTACCTGGCTTGCTGGGCTTCCTCGCTCGCTGTCACTGTGGCAGCTGCAGCAGCGTCAGGCTGCTCCCTCCCAGCCTTAATACAAGAACGCCAAACGAAAGGGGTAAGAAAGCTATTATTAATACCTGCTTAGTTGGCTAGTGCACCAGGGCTGGGTGCCTCAAACATCAACTGTGGCAGTGGCTACAAAGGGGTGCATTCATTCCACTTTGGAAAAATAATTATGCAAATGTTGCCAAAAATTCCTGATATTTTTTTGCTGGTGACGGTGGGCCACCCTAGTGTCTAAAGACCCATCGTTGGCAATTTTTGTTAGTAGTTTTTTTAATTTTTATTTAACGAAGAGCGCGCAAGCTTTGACACATCGCATACATGCACGCCTGCTATAATTCGTCGGTTCAGTGCGCAACATCGCGTAGCTGCAATTGGCTCAGTGAGAATTTGTCTCGGACGCCGAATTCGGGCCCAATTCAAAACATGACTCAGCAACTTTTGATATGAAGTCGAGATCCTAGAATATTGTTTTCTTGGCATGTACAGCAATTCACTGAGCTGAAACTCCATCATAGTTGTCCAGCACCCTTCTTTAGATTTTGAGCACTTTTGTTGCTTCAAACAAATGCACAAAATAAAAAATGATGGACTATACCTATAAGCATCAAATGGGAAATAATTTAATAACAGATTTAATTACAGATTTCCAGATGAAACAAATTCTTTTGAGGGTGAAATAAAGCAGGTATCTGGCAGGAAAGCCTTGCAACTGGGAGGGTATCATCAAGGATGATCTCTTTATCACCGAGGGGTTGGAATGTCTAGTACCTTGAGTTCTTCAAACAGTTGTGCAGTGGCATGAGGGCTGGGGCACCACAGGATCCTGAGCTTTTGGAAGTGCATGGTGAGTAGGGCAATCTTAGAGGACAGGTCCTGATAGGTGATCTCCTTGGAGGCAGTGCTTTTGGACTGGAAGAAAATAGAAAGTGACACAAATTCAGCAAATGTAACAACCAATTTTGGTCACATACGCTTCATAGTCGTCAGTATGTTATGACTGGCGAAATTATGCTGCTCATGCTGCTCAAGGCAGAAATTTATGGCAACATCCAACCTATCTCAACTACAGGGGCACAACGCAGAGTCCACCTTGCCGGCCACTGCTACAGAGCCAAAGAGCAAGTTGTCTGCGACCTCATCTGCTGGAGATTGCCTTGCCCCAACAGAGGGAGGAGACCCCTCAACTACGTCGACACTGTATGCAATAATGTGAGCCAGCATGTTGATGACATCACCACGGCCATGGCGGACAAGAGAGTCTGAAAGAGTTTGGTTTCATCCATCTCGGCTGCGGCCGCCCAATGATGATGATGAAAATATATTCCACAACACTTATGGTCCAGCACTATCAAAGCTTTCAGTGAACCAAATTGTTTGCAGCACTAAAACCGAGCTAGTACGTAGTACAAAACAAACATGCGTACCTAATAAAAGTAAGCTTGTGATTGCAACATGAGACTTGAAATCTCTTGTGTAACTTTGCGCGGTTCTGAAAAGAACTTTTGGAGACCCATCTTTTGTGACAGTATTCTCTGACGTCATGAGAAGACAGACAGAGCAAAAATGAGCTTTCTTGCAACGTAGTGCAACCTTAAACTTACTACTATTACCGACTTCACAATGCAAACCTTCAGCTCTTGTCATGCTTACAAACTTAAAGGGAAGATACAACATTTGCAAACATCAAAGAACAAAATGGTCAAATTATCACGAAATATCTCACTGGATGGTTAGCGAATGGTATTCTAAAGCACCCTGTAAAATCATGGCTTCCGGTGTGCTGACATTTTCAAGCAAAGTGGTATTTTTCCAACGCAGGTTGGCCGACCAGCGTTGGAGAAAACTGTTTTTTTTCAAAAACTGCTCTTCATTTTTCATAATTAGTTTTTCCGCATTTTCTTTGCAATTGACTACACACCTGTGGAGGGGTACAAGCCTGCCAGACTGATTCTCTGTTCCCCAAAGTTGACGAACTGCTCTGTTTCTTTTTAAGTGGGGTCAGGGAACCAGACTACAAGAACATGATGTTTTTCTTGGTTTTTCCAGCGTGTACAAGCCCAAACCGTGAAACAAGTCAGTTCAACAATATTTGCTATAACATACTAATCCCCCAAATCCATTTACTACTGAAAATTGCAGCAAGAGCAAATGTTGTACATTCCCTTTAAGATTGATTTGAGAGCTAGCGGGTCAGAAGAAATAAAAACCCTCATTTTGGACTTACTTGCAGTGAAAAAGACTTCTTGGGGTCAAACTCGATGAGCAGCACAGGGTGTTTGTAGTAGCGTGTCATGGACGTGCATTGGTTGAAGAGTCTGCCGGATGCTAAGGAGCTGATCAGATCGCTAACACTCTTCCTCTCAACACACACGTCTGGGGTTAGGATGTAATCACCTACCTGTTGGATAAATGTTACGAAGTTCGTAATTATTGATATATCCTGAATAAAGACCCTTCCTGCCAAGGAGCTGAATTGGCTGCTAACAAAAATTGTCTGTTTGCAGGTTTAAGAATTTGGGATATGCCAAACTTGCGTGATAATGAAATGTCTTGGATGTATTGCAGTTGAAAAGCCTTCGATAGCTTCTGCTTTCCTCTCCTATTCATATATCCACTGGAGAATTAAAACTCTCCTATTGTTTGATCAGTTGCAGACAGTCAAAAATGTCTTCCACTTTCTCTGCCGTGCATTTGTAAACAGACTAGTAGAAAACAGTCCGATCGCATTCGTTTAAACACTGTGACCAGTCAAATTCCATCAACTTTCTAAAGAGGTAACTGATAGGTATACACAGCCAACATATCAATCACCTCCAGTCAAAGCACGGCTATATCAAATGAACAAAGGAATTCTTAATGGTTAAAAACAATAACTTGATTTATTTTGACTGCTGTGGCGTAGCTAAAATTTGCCAGCCAGAGAGGGAGTGATATATATATTTTATTGTCAGCTATAAGGGCATTAAATGGTGAATCTTGGTTGGAGAGCCCTCAAAATTCAAAGGAAGTGATTTGATAGTGTATGCTCTTTTGCCAAAAGAAGCATTTTGAAGATCATGCACACAGCTGTAAGGAGTAAGTGTCCAAGATTAATCCTGGTTGAAGAGCCTTTCTAATGCAAGGGTGCTGAGTAGATGAACAGACATCTCTTGGATCATGAACAGAGGGGTGTCACAGATGAATCCTGGTTGAAGAGTCTTCGGAAGGCCAAGAGCCAAAAACGATGCTAGCCAAAAACGATGCGAACTAGTGTCAGTTTTCTATGAAGAATTGAGAATGGCATACCTCGATGGTAACTGGTTCAATGTCAATTCCTCTCTTATGAATCAAAGAAGGAAGTTCGCTCCGGAATTCACGCATGTCAACAATCACCTACAACAGTTCAAAAGAACAATTAAAGTCAAAAGTAACACTCTCAATTTTATCCTAGAGCCTCGCAAGCAAAGTAACAGAGCGCATTGGGACTTTGTGTAAAATGCGCTTTATATAAAGCACATTGCATGTGTCTTGGCCAAATCAAAAATTCAGATTTGGAAAATATGGTAAATAAGATGCCAAAAAGTTATTATTATTATTTTTTATTTAATTCTTACTGTTTGTGAAACCTAACGATTCTTCTAAAACACAAAGCTTGGAAACCTAGACAGGGAAGAAAGTGTTTGAAGTTGGGCGGAAACCCAGAGTTTTATTGCAAAAAAAGGGAATGAAAACCAAGGTCAAAGAGATGGAAGACGGCCTCTCTTCAAATGTCACCTCATTCTCCATTTTTCACAACATAAACCCAAATATATATTTTTTTAAAAGAAAAAAAAGGAAGACTACAAAACACTTGGAGACACAATTTAATTATGATCGAATCTGTTCTCTCTTTTGAACCCACCTTCTGTTGCACCTGTCCCTGTGACTGACGCCCACCAGCTCTGCTACTGCTACTCTGCAGGGAACCAGTGGCTGATTGTTGGTCCCTGTTCAGCTGCGGTGCCGTGTCCCCGTGGCCCTCCACTTCCTCTGATAACACCATGGTCTGCGAGAAATTATATCCCTCTCATTACATTTTTGTAAAGGGAAGTTATAACAATAATTTGGGGGGCTAATCATCCTTACTTGCAGCTGAGAAGCTGAATTGCAAAGAACGTGGCTACAACGTGGTCGAGCTGAAGGCATTCGCCATTGGCAGCTGCCATTCGACCAATGTCTGACCACGGAGCACAGCCAGAGATCGAAAACGTTGATTTTCGTGGTGGGATTTTCATGGGAAGATGGAAAAGCCTGCATGCAACTGAGAACTCACAAAAAAAGAGAAACTCCAAGCTTCACAAGACTCTCTCCAGTGTTTTTCAATTTTGAATGGCATTCAAGAGAAAATTAAAAAAAAAATTAGAAAATCAAGTGATCAAAGAAAAAGTTGCATACCTGAAAAGGTTACAAGTGCATTGATTCTAATAGTGTTTACCTAAAACAGTTACCAGGAAATTATTGGAAAAAGAAATTAACGCTTGGAGTAAAGATGTGTACAAAACACACTGATTTGATTCCACCTGGCATTTTTGCGAAATGAGAATCATGTAGAGTTTGAAAGGATAATAACAAATCTTTCCCGAATCTTCTAACCCCCCCTCTGTGAAGTAAACAAATTACACATTTTTTATACTAAAACTTTCAGGGGGTATCAAGTCCTATTACCAAGACTTTACTGAAAATTCTTGGAGACCTCCTTCGTCATTATCGTTATTTCCATTTAACGTCCATTTTTCCCACACTGTGGGGTGAGACGTTGTCTTTCCTTAATGGCCCTGTTCGCTGCTGTAGGTCATGCATTTCCGTATGCACGCAGCGTACACTTTGCCTTTTACTTTTGGGGGTGGTGCTCTGGAGGTCAGGAAGGGGGCCACCTCACAAAACTTTTTCCAACCACTTCGTATCCTTGCAGTCACTGCAGCCGCCACTCCTACCCCAGCATCTATCATATCACCTAGATAGCAAAACCTGATCACTTCATATTCCTTGTTGATTTTAAAGGACTGGAAAGAATTGAAATGAATGACTGCCAAACAGTTTAGTCACAAAAATGTAATGGTTAAAAGCTGGTTTCTACTTCACACGAATGTGAATGCGAAGTTAATTTGACGGAGTTGAAATGTATTCAACGTTTGCGTATTCACAGTGCAAAACTTGCAGTGAAGTCGCAAATTCAAGTTTGCGTTCATTTTCTTGCCGAGTTTGAATCGGCCTCAATTCTGAACCTGAAAGGTTACTTATGCTGTGTTTCAGGCAGTATTATGTTGAATTGGAATTGTGATCGTTGTACTTACGGCCTTCTCTCTGATCAAGTGCTCAAAGGCTTGTTTCTCCTTGCGTAGGCTGGTCAGGTAGCGCTGCTCTTCAGTGGAGCCTGAGTAGATGAGGAAATAGACTCTGAGAGGATGGCCTGGCCTGCTGGCCTTGAATACCTGCAACACAAACCAGTTCATACAAAATGTGCATCAAAATACATATGTGACAATGATTCAATTTTTAAAAACACACTTTCCATGGCAAAAATTATGCCCATCTGAAGTTCAGGTTGTCAAAAAGGTGAAACAGAGAAATTGCCTGTTGAAATTTCGGAGCGATTTAACAGCAATACTTTACAGGCTTATTACTCGCTGATATTAAAGTTGATGTATACATGCTTTTTGGATGTGGCACCTTGAAAAATAGATTTTCAAATTGAATTGATAATTTTCTAGCACTACATTAGTTATGAGCTTTCCAATGAGACATCGCACGAAAAAATCGACCGATGACAAGTAATCAATTAATTAATTTCAACTTTTAAATTAAGAGCGGGACGCTCCTAACTCGTTCTGAATAGTGTGCGCAATTTCTGAAAAGGAGCGCGCCATTTAAAACCACTTTTTAAAACTGTATAAAGGCCTGCAAAAACAAACAAGCAAATTTATTTGTTACAGGACATTATATTCCTTTAAATTTCGTTTGGAAAAGAAAATCCAAATTTTGAACAAGCACGTATACACCAACTTTAATAGAGAAACAAGACAAATATTGTCAAGAACGGGACAATGTTTTTTTATTTGCCGACATGATTAAAGACAATCATATTTATTTAGGACAGGAATAAGCTCGGCATGAAGTACTGTAATAGTTACTAGTCTCACCTCCAGCTGCCTGACAAACTGTATTTCAGCATCGTACAGGATGACAAACATCGGCTGTACTTCCTGCAGTGTCTTGCTTAAGCTGTAAGGATCTCTGCAACAGATGATGTCAAGACATAATGAACAAAGTCAATCACTGAGCCATTGGTCTACGAGCATGACGAGTACTAACAGCACAAACATTGCTGGCGCAGCCGTCTTCAAATAGCAACTTAAAACTTCTAGCTCTTTGCAGTACATTGTGATAAACCTGATGATATGACAAATTGGCAAAGACATGCACACTAGCCTTGACTGGTGTGCATTAGAAACGGGTTTACTTCACCTAAAGTTAACCAACTCTTTTCAATGCAGTTTTGCCAATGTGGCTTTATGGACTCAGTGGTCAAATATGCTCCTCAACAGTGAAAATGCTAGAAATTAATGCTGCATGTTCAGCACTCCTCTCAGATAATACAATAGGTATACTCACAGTAGCTGATACTTAAGCAGGTGAAAGGGGGACACTGGACTGATCTTTCTTACAAATCTTTTCTAGTGGGGAAAAGTGGGTGCCTGGCAGGAAGTTGCAAGCACCTAGCAGGTTTCAAATCGACATTCTCTAAGGCAAGATCACAAATCAGACATCTTAACCCTTAGATTACAGGGGAGTCAGGTTGGCGTAGCGGTACTTTCCTCGCCTTCCACCGCTGTGACCCGGGTTCGAATCCCGCCTGGGCCAATATGTGGATTGGGTTTTCAGTCCCTGCCTGATACCGTGGGTTTTCCCCAGAATATTCTTCTGGGCTTTTCCTCCCACCTCTAAAACTGTAACTTCTTCTCATTGTCTTCTCTCCACAGGTTTCTTCAGGCTTGCGAGCTACAGTGCCTAGGGCACTTTTGAGGAATCCTTGGTTTCATTACCAGAAATGATTAATAATAATAATAATAAAAAAAACTTTCACAAGGATGGATCTCCAGCAGTGCTTACTTGCATCCATGCAGTGGGTGTATGACAGTCAGCGGTGAGGCGGTGATTCCATAGTAGGCCTCGGGAGATGATACCAGCAGTAACTCCTCATCCTGTCTCTCCTCCGAATCATCGGCAGACTCCATTTCTACATCGTTATCATCATCTTCACTGGCTGATCCCTGCAGGAGAATAGAGCAAAACCACATTCCCTTTATTTCCCGAAATTTTGTAACTGTTACGAATAGGAATATTATGCATTCTGTTCACAATTATCCTCTCATAGAGACAGTTGGCAGAAACCACTTGGAAGGACTAAACTGGATTCTTAACTGGATTCCACTGTTCATGCAAACCACCTTCAATGCTATTTTCCCCAAAATATTACCGCTTCGCGCGAAACAATTTCACGTGGTAATTAATACAAGTCATATCTTCACTTTGAACGTATTCTCTATCATTACATTTTTACTTAGGTACTTTCCTGGTAATTGCCATGATTCTTCTTGGCTTTAAAGGTATAGTCCATCATTTGTAATCTGAGCATTTTGTCCATTTGAAGCAACAAACATGCTCAAAATCTAAAGAAGGGTGCTGAACAACTAACCTGATGAAGTTTCAGCTCAGCTTCAGCTGTATATTTTGAGAAAAACAGCATTCTCGATTTCAAATCAAAAGTTGCTGAATCATGTTTTGAATTGGGCCTGAATTCAGCGTCAAAGACACGTTCTCACTGAGCCGATTGCAGCTACGCGATGTCACGCACTGATCCAACAAATTATAGCAACCGCGCACGCGCGTGTGCGTCGTGCCAACGCTTGCGCGTGCTTCGTCAAGTAAAAAAAAAGAACCGTTGGAAAGGCCTTCTTTTGTTGATTTCTTCAAAATGACATCTTGCCAGAAAGAATAATTTCATAGGGAGTTCAGAACTCTTACTATCTTTCAACCAAGTATGTTTTTTAACAAGAATTACATCAGTTACTTTTTGGAAAGCTGCAAATGATGGACTGTAGCTTTAAGACAGCACAAGAGACAGAAATGAAAATCATTGCAAGACAGCTCATGAAGTTATTTCAAGGAGACAGAGTAGTGCATGAAGGACAAGATTTGTTTTTGTTTTCAGAAGACATCATGAAATGAACCTCTAGTCTTTCAACCATTCTAAGCCCTCACCTCCTGTGGTCCTCCTTTAGCTCGCACCATCTGCGTCAGGGTGAGTGTTTTCTCTTTGGCATCGCTGGTATCCTCCTTTTCCGACCTTTGACCTCTGGCTTTCCTTCTTCCCCTGGTTGGCTGATTCTTCCCGGCCTTGTTGGGCTAAACAAAGCAAAATTGTAATTTTGGGATCAAGATATACTTATTCTATGTTTTTTTCCTTTCAATTATATGATGTATCTGAGAGAGGAATTAAAAGAACAATTGTATAAAACTTTGTATAAAAGACAAAGCTTTGACTTTTTTGGGAACTTTTGCACTGGGGAGATGTTTGGATATTGGATTTGCCATTCATTGACAAATTTGTATAAGCACTGTAGGCTCAAGATGGCCAAGATCTTTTGAGTAAAAAGGAAATTTCAAGATTGCTTTGGTCCTGCGAATAAAGCTTTGCTATATATATTACCTGAAAATTTATTTCGTAACTACAACAAAAACATAATCGCAAATTGACAAAGAGAAAATCTTCCAATGTGTTCTGTTATTCATTCCACTGTAAGGCCAATTACCATCTGTTTTGCTCCTTGGACGTCACCGGTATCCCTGCCTGACTGGTCCCCTAGCGTCTTTGCATACAGTCTCTGCAGCAGTTTCTGTCCGCCATCTTGAAGGTATTCCTTCAGCTGTGCACAGGTTCTGTCATCGCTGGCACAGATCAGGATGCGGTTACTGTTAAATTCTGAGTCTATGTACAAAGTAGCGAACAATAAGCCAGTTCAGTATCTCAATGAAGTAGTCCCTGTCAAAGGTCAGTTGGGATAAAATCGCTGACGTGATGATACGCGATGTTACGAGGACGTCCATTTTGCTTGTAATTAACACACGAGCGTCATGCGTCCGTCTCCATGAGCGTTCATGCACCTTCGATTATCAGAATGAGTCGTGACCCATTTCATTGTGCGCATGCGCAGTTGAAATACCGAACTGGCTTTGGGCAGAATTAAATCTTGAATCAAAAAGACTTTTGTTTTTCTCCCAACACAGACTACACTGTAATAATCCTGCAGTTTTTTTCACGCAATTGTAATGCAACCCAGCCATTTAGATTGTGATACATCTTTGAAATAAGTCTTGAAAAGAAATTTCAAAAAAAATCATACTGAACAGTTGAACACACTTCAAGTAATCATTGCAGGAACAGATGGGGACACAAGAAACCAGAAACACATTGGGCGTATTTCAAACCCCGTTCTCGTGTAAATGATCACGAGAATGGGGTTTTGAATGACGAGAACCAAGATTTTCACTCCCCACTTATTGTTGTGTAGATGAAGAATGTCAAGAACAAAGATGGCGGACTTTATTTAGGCCCCTACCGCAACTTGCATTAATTTTTGTGCATAAAATTGAAAGCACTCATCAAGTGCAGGAGCAGTTATGATAAAAAAAAGAAAATTGTACGCGATCATAGAGTGGGCTTGTCTTTGCCAATATTTATAGATGGCCAAGATTTAAATTTTTTCATAAAATCAATCATTTTCCTTTCTTTTCATTCAGAGTTTTATTACGGTGGCTGCCATCTTGAATTTTCACCCAGCTGCACTCCACAAGTACTTGGGCGTTCGTAATCGGCAATCTGAGTACACTGTTTGTGGGTCACTCCAGAACGGGGTTTCGAATACACCAACTGTGTGCACCTAATCAATTTTAATATACTAAGAGTGCTTAAACCGACAGCACTTTAGGCATGTTAGAGGAATGTTTTTAAGTGTGGGCAAATGGCAAATGTGGTACAAAGAGCTCTGTTTTGATACTATAGTTCAATATACAGCTACAGTGTTTGTTCAAATGAATATAGTAATACACTTGTACCTTATTAAAAATGTAAACTCTAACTTACTCATAGAGGCACTTTCTTGTTTAATTTCCTCCATGATTTCAGACAGCACCTTCCATTTGGGGTTTTCTTCCAGGTTGAGTTCTGAGAAACCAAAAAAAAAAAATGAAAACCGTGGGTAAAAACAGTCGATATAAACTGTGCAAGAATTAGTTGAAAGGGTGATATTTAGAATATTAATTAGATTGACTACTCAATACAAGGTTTTGGCCTTCACCGACGTGTAAACACTGTATACTCAGTGTGTTACCTCCAAAGTGAAAGTTGGAAAAAAATCACTCGGGTGGGACTCGAACCCACGACCTCCTGCTTTTTAATGCAGACGTAGAACCGCCATAGGTCATGCGACATTCATTGACCAAATTACCAATATGCAAAGACAGCATTTCTGTACCATTTGAAATTGAATACAGTTAAGTATGCACAATCTCCTAGTAATATTTACCACGAGTAGCTGGTATCTTGTCACTGGTACCCTCGCTGTCCTGTGTTGATTTTCCCTTCGCCTTCTTGGATAATTTATACACTCGTTCTTTGGCATGCTGCAGTAAATGACAAAAAAATTTACTGAATAAAAAACACAACTCCTAATGTTAACATGCTGTAAAATAATAGGAATCGTTGATAATGCTAAATGCTAAAATTGTGTACAAATGGCAAAGAGCTCCAATATTGAAGGCCACTCAAGCCCCATTGCTGGTTTTCAAGCAGACCCAGGTGAAAAAGTAGGATAACAGTAGGATCCAAATTTATTTGAAAAAGTAGGACTTTATAGGACAAAATCAGGAAAAAAGTATGACTTTTGCGGGCTTTCAGGAGCAGTTTTGGTTGATACTCACCCATGTCCACAGCATCACAAGCTTTATTTGGCATGTTCTGTACTCACAACACTTGTGCTCCACCCTCAACGAAGCTCTTGGAAGTACAGTTGCAGTACTCCTGCGCCCAAACCCTTCATTGTTTGATTTACATATGACAGTGTGTAACACCGTTATGAAAAATATTCAAGGAGATTTTTTTTTCGGAAGTTGTGGGACAACAGTAGGAAAAGTAGGAAGAAGAAGGAATTTCTATTTCTAGAAAAAAAAGTAGGAAAAGTTAGGAGCAAGGTAAACAAAAAAGTAGGCAAATGTAGGAATACTTGAAAGCCTGCCATTGCTGTTGTGAGAACACACTTTGGGGCATTTATCTCATATGCAGACACGACACTTTATTTGTGCACTTCAAAGTTCAAAATTAGTCGTATTTAGTGTGTGCTTTATGTTCAGCAAACCGACGTGCGGTTGTGATGTGTCTTTACAGGTGCTATTGTGCAGTCTTCAAAGCACCATCTACTGTCCCCCCAGAGTTTGTTGAAAGATACAACATAGTAATCTTACCACAAACATGGATTCAGCCGACTCCATGAACAGCCAACCAGAGTTATTGGTTACGGTCTTCTCATTAGTTCTGTGGGAAAAACAAATGCAAAATAGAGATTGACATTTTTCACTGAGAGAGGCCTCAGAATGTGGACAGTGACTACAATTGCTTTTTCTGCACGGCTCACATTGTAAGATCCTTGATTTTTCCCTTTCAAGTTTTGGAAGGATGCTCTCATGTAGATCTTAGATTCAGAGAATGCGTGTTTAAAGAGAAAACTCATTTGGGTATGCAATGCAGGCTCTGTCAATTAATGTAATGGTCTAAGCTGCACGACCCACATGTATCATTTGGTGGAAGGGGGGTAGGGCTGTCCCGAATATATCGAATACTCAAATATTTGATCATCAACCAAGTATTCAAATAGCTTAGAAGAAGAAAAAATTACAGACATTCACACGACTATGTGGTGTTATTTTATTGAAAGTTGTGGCACTTATAGTGTCAGGTACCACTTTTTTGTCGACAGTAACTTTTTTGCTCAGCAGGTTTAAAGGATATGAACAGGATATTAGTAGGTCGTTCAGCATATTGCTAAATGAGTAAACGTGTTAAATGTCAACCACTTTAAAAAGTCGACTCACATTGTTTTGATGAATTTTTCTTCAAATATTACACAAAAAACACACAATTTTGGCTTATTTTAATGTGGCTAAGTAATGATTTCAAAGTTGAATGCATTTTACTCACCTTAGAGATTTCAGAAAATTATAAAACGTAACACAGTCGTACTGTGTCAGGTAGCTGTGAAACAAAAACACACAATAAATACAGTAAGTACACACACATGGTTAATAACCACTGTGTTGAGATGATCTGAAAAAAAAATCAACACAATTTTCAATATTTAAAGTAGACGTATGGTCCCACATGTGTCATATGGACCTAACTTTGTGATGCGATCAAGCTAAATGAGTCGTTTGTCGACCCTGGTCAACTTCTTTCTTTTTTTCAGATATGGAAAAAACACAGTTTCAGCATTACTGCTGTGAAAACCGCATGCTGATACCATCTTTAATTCAAAAATTATGAAGTTGGAACACCAAGAGATGTGATGAAGTGATGTGATGAAGTGGCCCTATTTTGGCCTGCATCTCCAAATGAAAATTCCCAACAAACGACTCATTTAGCTTGATCGCATCACATTATTAACTGCTTACAATTACTTTGGATTGGTGTTCAAAAGCCAGCAGGAAACGTTCAAGGTTAAAAATACTCACTACAATAGCATCTGGAGCAGCTTCAAGTCGGCAATAAGCTGTTTTGTGGTGGCGGTCTAAATTGGTGAAAAACAAGGTATTGTGAATTGAAACAAGAAAAAAATATCTTATTTTTATGCTCCAAATATCTACAATTGTGTATGCCACTAACTTTGCGAGAAAACTTCGAGAATTAAATTGTAAATGTGATTTATGGTTAACATTTTTAAGTTGTTTCGGTGTACACACTGCCAAAACAGCTCTCGTTTTCTCTCGTTTTGAAGTATTTTTTTTCCTTCCCCCCCCCTTTTTTTTCCTTTTTCAGACTCATCTCCATAGGTTTTGTACACATTTTTCTCCCATCTGTACACTTTGACACTCAGATCTGATCGACTTCAGACTTGGCACACAAAAAACATAGACAACCACCTAAGGCCCCCCCCAAAAGTCTTCGGTTGCTGGTATGGAGCTCGCCCCAAAAGTGGTGCGACGACACAGCTTTCTTTTTTTTTTACTTTCTTTTTCTTCAAATGTCGGCTGATGACTGCAAGTGATGCCACACTAAATTTAGTGCAAAATTTATGGGAGTCCAGAGAGGCCACATAAAGCTTATACTCGATCGTAACCCCATCTAAGAACACGTTAAAATTGTGCAGCAGCAGGATTCCAGTCAAACCAGTAAGTTTGGCAGTTTTGAGACCTCATCTTACATTGAAAAAAAACCTTTTTCATTTTGCCAATGCGCATGGCAACGGGGACGCGCGCGCATACCAGAAACCGGAGCCTTTTTTGGGGGGCCTAACGATGTATGCCAAAGGTTTTCATCACGATGATGTCGTCCGGTGTCAAGTTACGTCACACTAAAGATGCACTTTTTCTCTATAGGGTTTGTACACGTTTTTCTTCCATCAGTACACTTTGGCACTTTCGTACATCTGATTGACTTTGGACGTGGCAGGCACTTAGACCACCACCCGAAGATGGTCCCTGACGCTTTTTATCATGAAACAGCTGGGCAATTCCACGGTTACTCACCTTACATTTTCGTAACATGTGTAACCGATTTTGTGCGTCTTCTTTATCATACTTAACAAATTTTTCCGTATGTCATCTTTGGTGCTTAGGTAGGTCTTGGTCTACTCTATCCACCATGGGGATAACAGTTATTAAACCTTTTCAGTAAGGTAATTACAGCCCAAGGAAATTCAAAAGTACATCAAAAATGTAACGTGAGTAACCGTGGAATTGCCCAGCTGGTGTTTGTTCACCAATACATTTCTAGTTTTATTTGTTTATTGTTTTTAAGGGGTCAGCAGCAGTGGGTTGGGTACAGAAATAAGAGTTGGGATTTGGTACAGGGTAGTGGGCTTCAGGGCACAGAAGGCTGTGGGTTGCATGGGTTAGGGGCACTGATCTCTATATAAAGACTGGATAGCTAATAAAGAGCCACACAATGAATGAATTTGACGCCATATTGGTGAGACCGGCTGGTGATCTACAAAGGACAAGTTGCTGTCTTTCTAGACAGCATGATTTCTTTTGTAACGTCGCGGTTCACTTGACTTATTTTGACCACCACCACTGACCAAGGTTTACTACAGTTTTTGTAACGTCGTGGTTAATTTTAAAATGCTGCAAATCACTTTTTCGGCGTTTTTTGAAATAATAACCAATACGGAAATGTGTCCCTTTTAGAACATCATAATATGCGTACGTGACCAAAATGCGCGTCAACTGTTGATACAACGCGCGCGTATTTATGCGTAGAACGTTCGTATTATACACGGCCATCTTCGTGAGACTGGGGGCGAATTGGTCAATATGCAAAGTCTACTGTGTGAATGTTGTATGCATATCCGCTATCCAGTCTTTATATAGAGATCAGTGGTTAGGGGAGGGGAGGGGTTTACAAACATGTAGAAGCAGAAGTGGGATAGGACAAAGCAAACATGGAAAGAATGTTGCAACCTGATGCTGCTTTTTCTTCACATATCATCTCAATGAAGGTCAGTCATTGCAAAAATGATGGTAAAACATGAATCTGGGCTTGAGAAACATTTCCAATTTGTTAGGAAATACTTAAAAAATTGTCTTGACTCTCCATAGACTTTGTACACAACCGCTGAAGTAGTGTCAGGTTGCAACATTCTTTCCACAAATGTTATCATGGGGAGAGGGGGAAACAAATGACACTTTCCCTCACCAATTGATGCCATAGGGGTTGGAGTTGTCTCCGTATAGCTTGCTCTAAGGATTTCCGACCGATAGCCGACTCCACTGTGACTTCAGAGCTGTCTAGCTGTAAGCAGATACGTACCACGCATGAGTTACGAGACATACTGTCTGGCCACATGAAGACAATATATTTCAGAAATGGTTTTTGCAATTTGTTTTCTTAAAAATGACTATCCAAAAGGCTGATATTATATCTGGTCTAACATTCTTTACAATTTCATTTCATTTCATTTCAGAAACATTTATTTCCACATGAATAAGCACTTTAGAAAACAAAACAATTGTTACATAAAAACTACTAAGTGGAGGCATTACACAAGAAGCCGGAGCTTATAAACGGAATGCCTTAAACACAACAAAAAATATATATATACATATAAACAATACTAAAAAAGGAAGACTAAAAAAATTCAAAGACAAAACACAACAAAACAATGAAAACAGAAACAGACAAACAAACGAAGTGGACATAAACTTAATAAACTTCACAGACGGACATACGAAACATACTATTAAAAGAACTCTATGGGTTTTATGTCATGTATGTACATACAAACACATGTCAAAGAAGATAGAGTTTTCTACAATATTTTGTTGTTCTCTCTTTGATATCGGCATCCAAGGGGAACTCTTCAGTAGGAATCGATTTCTTACCGATGGGTTGCATCGTTGGACCTCCTTGATGCAAGCAGCTATGATGTCTAAGATAGCTGTCTGTATGGCCAGCATGGAGGGGCTCAGCTTCAGCTGAATCTCAACTACGTCCGGCTGAGAACAAAACAAAACAATCAATATCACAATGTAAACCCGCAATCAACTGCATTTTCAACTGAGATGTCAAACTCAATCCAGCCTGAAGTTTAGTGCCAGATTTAGTCTGTGACAGCACAGAAAAACAGAGAGCATTTGGTTCTAAGCTTTTTTAACCTTGGGCTGAAAGCAGTGTATGTTCTAGCCGTTAATAATACTGTACAGGCTTCACAACAAGTAAAGTATTGGCTGAACTAGTCCGAATATTTGGGGCTCTCAATGCTGCGTACGAGAAAAGATGCAACACAAGGAAATAGACTGGCACCTGAAACAACCAGTCCAACAACCCTTCAGTACTGCATCCATCAACTGTGCACATTGAAACATCTGGCATGTCCGGTACTGGTCTCTATTTCTACATATTTCCCCATAGTCAGCCACCAGACTAATGAAGCGGTCAGTCTTTTCAAACATTTGGCATGATTGGGACCATGGTGGGACATTTACCAAGTCTTTAACCTCAATTTGAAATCACTTGACTTCCCTCTGATGTGCAAAAAAAATTGAAGAAAAGTCTTTAAAAACTGAATTGAGACTTCAATCTTGGTTTGTGAAATACTGAGGACCTTGTCTTTGCCCAATGACAATTTTGGAGAATTTTGCTGGCTAAAGAGTGAGTTAAGTTGGTAGGATTTCGTTTTGCGTGTTTTTCAGCACGCATGGTCCCAATCTGCTACTGATCTAATGCTTTCAGATGAGTTGGGTGCAGCATGATGTAAATTTTAAGTTCTTTCTCAAGAATCATTATAAAGCATAAAAGGGGAAGGAATTGACTTCTTAAAATTTTTATTACTCTTAGCTCACCTTATGTGCATCCATGAAATCAGTTACAGATGCATGGAACCTAAAGCCAAAAAAATAAGAGACAGTTGTTTATCACAAAGTATGAAAATAAAAGCAGCGGCAGTTTGTATACTAATAATTAGGATAAGTTGTAATGGGGGAAAAAAATCGATGATTTTTACCAAATTATGAATGATGACTGACTTCCTCAAGATTTACGTGACTGTTTTTAAGGATGGGTTTTGGGAGTTGGGTGGGGGGTGGGATTGGGTGGGGTAGGGGATAGTGGAAGGGAGAACCAAGTCAGATTTTTTTGTCTATAAGGTTCCATAACTTCAGAGTCCTTGTCCTTCAGAAGACCAGCAAGTAATACCTTTGAATACCTTTTTTAAAGGTAGCGTACATCATTTGTCATTTGTGCATTTTTTTTGTTTGAAGCAACAAAAGTGCTCAAAATCTAAAAACAGTTGCTTAACAACTAACCTGATGAAGTGTTAGCTCAGTGCATGCAGTATATTCTGAGAAGACAATATTCTAGGATCTCGGTTTCAATTCAAAAGTTGCTGAGAGTCATGTTTTGAATTGCGCCCGAAATCAGCATCCCGGACACGTTCTCATTTAGCCGATTGCAGCTACGCGATGTCACGCACTGAACCGACAAATAATAGCAACCGCGCAAGCATGTGCGTTGTATCAATGCTTGTGCGCACACCCATTCACAGATTCGCCCAATAACAAACCAACTACTAACGGAAATTTCTAAAAACGTGTCACTTGACGCATCTTTGGAAATGGCCTTCTCTAATTGTTTTTTTTTTCAAAATGACAGCATGCCAGAAAGAATAATTTCACAGGGAGTTTATTGCCATAACTATCTTTAAATCACGTAAGCTTTTCAACAATAATTTCGTCAGTTACTTTCTGGATAGATGCAAGTGATCTGCTCTACCTTTAAGTTTGTAAAAAGTTCACAAGATTGACCCAGGCTACCTTGGCCAGAGGAAGAGCTTGCGGACGAACAGGTTACGCATGACTCGCTCCAGCTGGCAGAAGCCGGCAGCAAAGGACTGCGGCTGGTCTGACAGCGCCTTGATGAATCCCGTCTTGTTCTTCTGACGGTACAGACGCAGGATAAATGCCTCCTGGCAGGACTCTATGATCCTAGAAAACAAAAATCAATCAAAAATGAGTGGGTACCGTAGCTGTGAAATGACAAGTTGTTGTGATTCACGGCCCAAGTGGTTTACCAGGGCCCATTGGAGAACTGGTGGAACATGAATTCTCCAAAATATGGGTTAAAAAGATTGGCAAGAGGAACACAATGTAACCAGACATAGCTCTAGACTGGAAACGTTGGAGGGTTGTGCTTGATCCAATTTTGAGTCCTATTTTTAATATTGAGTTTGGTTTTTTTCAGATTGAGTATACATTCGACCATTTGTAACTTAAGTCATTTTTAAGAACATTGGTCTTTTGAGATAACGCAGATTCAAGGCATTATTCCATTCGGTAAAAACAAGTAAGTTTACCAAACCAAATAGTATTCTGTCAAGACCCAACATATTATTCAGCCAAGGAAATTTCAATATTCATATAATGCCAGCCTACAAGCTCCGTGCGCCAACAAAAGAGGGCTCGTTTTTACCATTTTTGAGAGCCACTTGGACGGGACACTGCGTGTGTGTACTGTACTGGTTCACACGCGAAGTACGCATGAATTATTTATCCTAAATGTGCACGAAGCTAAGCCATAGCGTCTTCAGGTGTGAGCGTCAGGCGTTGTTAGCGCACGAATACATTCAAATTTAACTTCCGCTGGTCTCCCCAACTAATCCCCATCCCCAATAACTGGATTATTCGAAATACGCAGTGGATGGACCGGGAACCAGTCTACATGTAGGTCCTAGAGGCCAGAATTGAATTCCCTGAAGACTGCACCTCGTTAAATTAAGTACCTTAGTGAGAAAAGAAAATTTTATGACTGTTTACATAATGCACCAGAAACTTCAATGTTTTCCATAGCCAGCATCATCGAAAAAGACACTTTTGGCCCAAAAATCCATTTTCACCAGATTTGCCAAAAAGTTCACACGAAGTGCCTAGAGGCCAGAATTGAATTTCCTGAAGACTCCAACTCGTAAAATTCAGTATCCAGTGACAAAAGGAAATTTTATGACTGTTTAAACAATACACCAGAAAGATTTTAGATTTTTTACAAAATGCCCCCAAAACTTCAACGTTTTCCATAGCTGGCATCATCGAAAAAGTCAGTTTTTGACCCAAAAATTCAACTTCAACAAATTTGCTCAAAAGTTCACACGAGGTGCCTGAAGGCCAGAATTGAATTCCCTGAAGAGTTCCACTCATTACATTCAATATCTAGTGAGAAAAATTTTTTTTTTAGATTTTTTACAAAATGCCCCCAAATCTTCAACGTTTTCCATAGCCGGCATCATCGAAAAAGTCAGTTATTAACCCAAAAATTCAACTTCAAAAAATTTGCTCAAAAGTTCACACGAGGTGCCTAGAGGCCAGAATTTAATTCCCTGAAGAGTTCCACTCATTACATTCAATATCTAGTGAGAAAAATTTTTTTTAGATTTTTTACAAAATGCCCCCAAATCTTCAACGTTTTCCATAGCCGGCATCATAAAAAAAGTCAGTTTTTGACCCAAAAATCCAACTTCACCAAATTTGCTCAAAAGTTCACACGAGGTGACTAGAGGCCAGAATTGAATTCCCTGAAGAGTTCAACTCATTACATTCAGTATCCAGTGAGAAAAGAACAATTTTAGATTTTTTACAAAATGCCCCAAAACTTCAATGTTTTCCATAGCAGGCCTCATAAAAAAAGTCAGTTTTTGACCCAAAAATCCAATTTCACCAAATTTGCTCAAAAGTTCACACGAGGTGCCTAGAGGCCAGAATTGAATTCCCTGAAGAGTTCAACTCATTACATTCAGTATCCAGTGAGAAAAGAAAAATTTTAGATTTTTTACAAAATGCCCCCAAAACTTCAACGTTTTCCATAGCCGGCATCATCGAAAAAGTCAGTTTTTGACCCAAAAATCAAACTTCACCAAATTTGCTCAAAAGTTCACACGAGGTGCCTAGAGGCCAGAAATGAATTCCCTGAAGAGTTCAACTCATTACATTCAGTATCCAGTGACAAAAGAACAATTTTAGATTTTTTACAAAATGCCCCCAAAACTTCAACGTTTTCCATAGCCGGCATCATCAAAAAAGTGAGTTTTTGACACAAAAATCCAACTTCACCAAATTTGCTCAAAAGTTCACACGAGGTGCCTAGAGGCCAGAATTGAATTCCCTGAAGAGTTCAACTTATCACATGCAGTATCCAGTGAGAAAAGAACAATTTTAGATTTTTTACAAAATGCCCCCAAAACTTCAACGTTTTCCATAGCCGGCATCATCGAAAATGTCAGTTTTTGACCCAAAAATCCAACTTCACCAAATTTGCTCAAAAGTTCACACGAGGTGACTAGAGGCCAGAATTGAATACCCTGAAGAGTTCAACTCATTACATTCAGTATCCAGTGAGAAAAGAACAATTTTAGATTTTTTACAAAATGCCCCCAAAACTTCAACGTTTTCCATAGCCGGCATCATAAGAAAAGTCAGTTTTTGACACAAAAATCAAACTTCACCAAATTTGCTCAAAAGTTCACACGAGGTGACTAGAGGCCAGAATTGAATTCCCTGAAGAGTTCAACTCATTACATTCAGTATCCAGTGAGAAAAGAACAATTTTAGATTTTTTACAAAACGCCCCAAAACTTCAACGTTTTCCATAGCCGGCCTCATAAAAAAAGTCAGTTTTTGACCCAAAAATCCAACTTCACCAAATTTGCTCAAAAGTTCACACGAGGTGAATAGAGGCCAGATTTCAATTCCCTGCAGAGTTCAACTCATTACATTCAGTATCCAGTGAGAAAAGAACAATTTTAGATTTTTTACAAAATGCCCCCAAAACTTCAACGTTTTCCATAGCCGGCATCATCGAAAAAGTCAGTTTTTGACCCAAAAATCAAACTTCACCAAATTTGCTCAAAAGTTCACAAGAGGTGCCTAGAGGCCAGAATTGAAATCCCTGAAGAGTTCAACTCATTACATTCAGTACCCAGTGAGAAAAGAAAATTTTAGATTTTTTACAAAATGCCCCCAAAACTTCAACGTTTTCCATAGCCGGCATCATAAAAAAAGTCAGTTTTTGACCCAAAAATCCAACTGCACCAAATTTGCTCAAAATTTCACACGAGGTGACTAGAGGCCAGAATTCAATTCCCTGCAGAGTTCAACTCATTACATTCAGTATCCAGTGAGGAAAGAAAAATTTTACATTTTTTACAAAATGCCCCCAAAACTTCAACGTTTTCCATAGCCGGCATCATCGAAAAAGTCAGTTTTTGACCCAAAAATCAAACTTCACCAAATTTGCTCAAAAGTTCACACGAGGTGCCTAGAGGCCAGAAATGAATTCCCTGGAAATTTTCAACTCATTACATTCAGTATCCAGTGACAAAAGAACAATTTTAGATTTTTTACAAAATGCCCCCAAAACTTCAACATTTTCCATTGCCGGCATCATCAAAAAAGTGAGTTTTTGACACAAAAATCCAACTTCACCAAATTTGCTCAAAAGTTCACACGAGGTGCCTAGAGGCCAGAATTGAATTCCCTGAAGAGTTCAACTTATCACATGCAGTATCCAGTGAGAAAAGAACAATTTTAGATTTTTTACAAAATGCCCCCAAAACTTCAACGTTTTCCATAGCCGGCATCATCAAAAAAGTCAGTTTTTGACCCAAAAATCCAACTGCACCAAATTTGCTCAAAAGTTCACACGAGGTGACTAGAGGCCAGAATTGAATTCCCTGAAGAGTTCAACTCATTACATTCAGTATCCAGTGAGAAAAGAACAATTTTACATTTTTTACAAAATGCCCCCAAAACTTCAACGTTTTCCATAGCTGGCATCATAAAAAAGTCAGTTTTTGACCCAAAAATCCAACTTCACCAAACTTGCTCAAAAGTTCACACAAGGTGCCTAGAGGCCAGAATTGAATTCCCAGAAGAGTTCAACTCATTACATTCAGTATCCAGTGAGAAAAGAACAATTTTAGATTTTTTACAAAAATGCCCCCAAAACTTAAACGTTTTCCATAGCCGGCATCATAAAAAAAGTCAGTTTTTGACCCAAAAATCCAACTTCACCAAACTTGCTCAAAAGTTCACACGAGGTGCCTAGAGGCCAGAAAATTCAATTCCCTGAAGAGTTCAACTCATTACATTCAGTATCCAGGGAGAAAAGAACAATTTCAGATTTTTTACAAAATGCCCCCAAAACTTCAACGTTTTCCATAGCCGGCATCATAAAAAAAGTCGTTTTTTGACCCAAAAATCAAACTTCACCAAATTTGCTCAAAAGTTCACACGAGGTGACTAGAGGCCAGAATTGAATTTCCTGAAGAGTTCAACTCATTACATTCAGTATCCAGTGAGAAAAGAACAATTTTAGATTTTTTACAAAATGCCCCCAAAACTTCAACGTTTTCCATAGCCGGCATCATCGAAAAAGTCAGTTTTTGACCCAAAAATCCAACTGCACCAAATTTGCTCAAAAGTTCACACGAGGTGACTAGAGGCCAGAATTGAATTCCCTGAAGAGTTCAACTCATTACATTCAGTATCCAGTGAGAAAAGAACAATTTTAGATTTTTTACAAAATGCCCCCAAAACTTCAACGTTTTCCATAGCCGGCATCATCGAAAAAGTCAGTTTTTGACCCAAAAATCAAACTTCACCAAATTTGCTCAAAAGTTCACAAGAGGTGCCTAGAGGCCAGAATTGAAATCCCTGAAGAGTTCAACTCATTACATTCAGTACCCAGTGAGAAAAGAAAATTTTAGATTTTTTACAAAATGCCCCCAAAACTTCAACGTTTTCCATAGCCGGCATCATAAAAAAAGTCAGTTTTTGACCCAAAAATCCAACTGCACCAAATTTGCTCAAAATTTCACACGAGGTGACTAGAGGCCAGAATTCAATTCCCTGCAGAGTTCAACTCATTACATTCAGTATCCAGTGAGAAAAGAAAAATTTTACATTTTTTACAAAATGCCCCCAAAACTTCAACGTTTTCCATAGCCGGCATCATCGAAAAAGTCAGTTTTTGACCCAAAAATCAAACTTCACCAAATTTGCTCAAAAGTTCACACGAGGTGCCTAGAGGCCAGAAATGAATTCCCTGAAGAG